GCAAAATCTGCCCCCCGTCAAAAATTCTCACGGGAATCCCCATTTTCGCCATTCGCAGGAACGGAGATGAGGAGGGATTCTCCAGCCTTACGGAACCCCGTTGACATCCCTACCCAGAGCACGGAACAAGCTTGGGTGAGCGAAGAGCGAAATATCAGAAGCTGAGAAGAGCAATTCTGAAGAAATTGGGGATATTTGGCTTTTAAGGTAACTACAGATGTCTTGTCCTTGTCATTTCCGTCTTTGTTGAAATTTTATGAAAGCAAAGATATCTCTTTGACTCCTGGCTTTTAGCTTCAGTAATGTGCAGTAGAAATAAGTCTGAATATACAAAACTCCTTTGTTTCAAAAAAATTTTTTTTATGGGCCTTTGTTTCAAATGTTGGCACTTTTTAATTGGTATGCTGCAAAGTCAGTACTAGAGTAAGAGTTGAGTGTTGATGTAGTGCTATAGAAGAAATTCACTTAAGGCATGCCTCATTCAGCAGCAGGAAAATTGAAACAATTGAATTCAGAAAACAAAGAAAACGGCTTACCAATATATATAAAATCTGAAGCTTGTGAAACTAAAAGGAGTTTAGCACGAAACAGGTTTGCATAACTTAGAATTGGAAATTATGCTTCAAAAATAGCAAAATATTATCTTACATTATTTAACATGATTCAATAATAAACCTTTCAGGTTAAACTTTGTTCATTTGTAATATATTGAAAAGATTTTAAAATTTTATAAAATATGTTTAAGAAGGGATTAATTCAAGATTTTATTATTTTGGACTCATATGAAAACTCATAAAACTTTATTTGTAATTTTTAAGGACTAAAATGAAATCAAAGAAAAGATAAGGGACAAAGTTTTCAGTCTCCAAAAGAGAAAGGACAAGAAACAACATTAGTTAAATTAAAATGAACAAAACGCACAAATGTCATGCGTTTTGTCCGTCTTCCTTCTTTAAGCCCGATTAGGGCTAAGTTCATCACGGAACTCTCGACCGCAGAGTGGATTCTCTTCAAACCCTTCAATTAACCAAGGGGAGCTCCATCCTCTGCCCTATGGCCGATTCCTCTTCCCCGTTGGTACATCACCGAGCAAGGACGATGGTTCTCCGAGAATGCCGTTATCGATCAACGGTGAGAAGTTGAGGAACGATCGGACGGTGAGAGTTGAAGGTCTCCTCCGGCTATAAACACCCATGGTGGGAGCTCGTGAGAGACAATCAAGAAGCAAGTGGTGAGGGGAAGGGATCCCCAGAACACCGTAGAAGCTGAGATGAGCAAACAGAATTTATAAACATTATATAACATGATTCGAGTCGACACACTTTTCAGCTTTCCTTGCCCTTCACAAACCCCAAAACTTATTTCATAACTGAATATACAGAATAACACTCAGACCCAGAGCCTAGAGATATGCTAGTGGTGTGCTCGGTTTCGTAGAAGATTGTTCCTTATCAGATGTAGCTTAGTGAGAATAGCACTTGCGGTCTTACGGTCTTGAGGTGACTCTACGGAACATGCCACACCAATTCCAATCATAGAGATCAGACAATCCCTTAGGCTGTTATACCTTGCCCGAACACGAATCTGACTGTTAATGGTAGCTGCTTGAGTTTCGTGTAGGAGTTTTGTTTCTGCAATCTCCATGACTTGATCTGGTAAGGCCGTTTTGGCATAGTTATGAAGGTTAAGGCCACCTTCAAAGAGGCTGTCTGTTGGTCTCTTTCCTGTCGTCATCTCCAACACTAGAATTCCATAACTATATACATCCCCATGGATTGTAACCTCACTTCCCATGCCATACTCTGGCATTGAGGAAAATCAAAAGATTAGGTTGAACAAAAGAATACTAAGGGTTTATAGAAATTAGGAGATTGAAATCATAAAGGACTAGAATATTTTGAATCTTTGATCACCTGGAGCAGTGTACCCAATTGTTCCCCTCACTCCAACCGAGCTACTTTCATTTGGCAATCTTAGCTCTGAAAAAGATCTTGCAAGCCCAAAATCTCCGATGTGAGCAGTCATGTCGTTGTCCAGGAGAAGGTTGCTCGGCTTCAAATCACAATGAACGATTGGATTCAAGGAATGGTGATGAAGGTAGTCAAGAGCGGAAGCAACATCAATAGCAATGCTTATCCTCTGCAAAAGATTTAGACTCTGGACTGTGCATTGGCCATTATTTGTTTCCTGAACAGATGAATGTGGCCAGTTTTCCAGGCTTCCATTGGCCACCAACTCATAAATCAATGCCTTGAAATCATTGCCTTTGAAATCAATGCTGGAGCAAGAAGTTACGATCTTCACAAGGTTCCGATGACGGATGTTCCTTAAGGCTGTTGGAGTTGTGGTGTTCAAGCTGCCAAAGTAGCAGCAAATGGAAAGACGTGAGAGCTGCAACATGATTACAGAGTAGCAGCAAAGTGACAGCACAATGGAGCTTCACATGCGCTACAAGAAATGGCAGTAAATCTTTGAATGTAATCTTTTGTTTTAAATGCTTAATATTTTCTTGTATTGGGTAAAATGTTAGGTGAGAAAAAAATTGTTTTTTATTGTATTGTTTCTGCTATAAATGTAGTAAAATATAAATGATATCTCTTGAGTTGGAGTGATATACTCCTCTCCATTTTATGTGCTCTGCTCCTCATCTTCTTCCTCTCGGTTCTCTCCATTTTTTTCTTTCTTTGCTTTAAAAAACCCAACAAAGGCTTCACACTCTGCCAAGAAACTCTTGAAAGCTCCTGGATGCTCAAGATCAAGCACTTTGACTGCAACATTAGTTCCATCTTCTTGAAGAACTCCTTTATAGACAGAACCAAAGCTCCCTTTGCCAATTAAATTTGTTGAAGAAAACCCATTAGTTACTTTGAGGAGAGCTCCATAAGAAAGTTGCCTAAATGGCTCCCTTATTAAAGATCCAGAAGACTGGTCTTTATTTTTCCTTTTAGACCAGCCAAACAGGAAGAAAGACACAACAATTACTCCTACAATTGCACATGTAATGGAGACAACTATTGTTATTATCTTCACTGATGAAAGTTTTCCTTTCTCTCCTTGTCTGTTGTTGCATTTGGGCAACCCAAGTTCAGCAATTCCCCCACAAAGTTTCTTGTTTCCTCTAACAAACATTGCACTTGCATTTGCAAAGATGCCTTCTGTTAAAACCTTCCCTTCCAAATTATTGAAAGATAGATTCAAATACTCCAATGCAAGTTTTTCCATGTATTGAGGGATCTTACCGGTCAAATTGTTGCAAGAGAGATCAATTTCTCGAATTCCTCTCATAAGGCTTAAAGTTTGAGGAATGTTGCCTTCAAATTGGTTTTCCTGCAAGTTAAGGATCTCAAGGCTGGTGCAACCACTCAGGCTACTAGGGATTTTTCCAGAGAGCTTGTTCTTAGATACATCCAGTGTACCTAAGTTTTTTAATTTACCAACTTCTGAAGGTAATGATCCAACCAAATGATTATGAGAAAGGTTGAGTAAAACACTCAGAGAAGAAATGCCGAAAAGTTCTTTGGGTATGGAACTGCTAAGTTCATTGTCATTAATGGTCAATGAAATCAAATTGTGGCAGTTCCCAAGGCTTGATGGTATACTACCGTTTAACCTGTTGTAATCAAGATGAAGCTCAAACAATAATGTTAAATTTCTAAAAGAATCTGGAATTTCTTCTGAGAATTTGTTCATGCTAAGATCTATATACTGTAGTTGTTTGAGCAGGCCTATTTCTTTTGGAATTTTTCCAATAAGCTGATTGTTTTATACTTCAAAGAAATTCAAGCCTACAAGATTTCTTAATCCTGAAGGGATTTCTCCAAATATGTTATTACCTCCGAGGCCAAGTCCCATTAGAGTGGTAGAGAGATTGGCTATGGAATCAGGCAATCTTCCCGAGAACTTATTGCGTGCAAGACCTAATGATTTCGGATTGCTACAGTTGGCCAAAGAACTGAAAAAGTTCATTTCATCAAATTCACCACTTCCTAGATGATTGCCACGCAAATTCAAATTTGAAAGCTGTTGAAGATGCCCAAAAGGAACTGTTACTTTACCAAAGAAATTATTTTGCTGCATTTCAATGTTTTTTAGTTTTGAAGCATTGGATAGTGTTGCTGGAATTTGCCCCCTAACATAGTTTCCCCATATTTGAAAGTTTGTTAGATAAGGAAGGGTGAGCCCTATGTCCCATGGAAGATCTCCTTCTAGTTCATTTTTAGCCAAGGAAAAAATGGAAAGCATAGAAAAATTATAGATTGATGGGGGGATCTTACCGGAGAGGTTATTTCCTCCGAGTCCAAGACTTCCTAAGCTTCTCAATTGACCTAGGGCATCTGGAATCCTACCTCCAAAAGTTATTTAAACGTGCAGCAAAGTATATTAAAGATGTAAGATTCCCAAGGAAAGGTGGGATCTCTCCGGTGAATTGATTCTCACGAATAGAAAGATATGTAAGCTTGGAGATGGAAGCAAGCTCCACTGGCAGTTTTCCTGCTAACTTGTTGTCATCAATGTGGAGGACTTCGAGGTTGGAGCAACTAGACAAGTTGGATGGGAGCTTTCCTTCAAAGGAATTGCAACTCAGATATAGCAGCTGTAATCTGAATAGACGTCCGATTTCAGGTGGAATATCCCCATGAAAGCTGTTGTTTGAAAGTCTAATCTCATGAAGAAAGCTCAAGTTCCCTATGGAAGGAGACAAAGAACCCACCAAACCCTTGGATGATATATCCAAGATGGTGACTCTATCTCTTCTATGACTGCAAGTGATGCCTGCCCACAAGCAAAAGTGGATAGAATTGTTCCAGGACTTCAAAATCCCTTGAGGATCATTTGAAATTTTGGACTTGAAGGCTATCAAGGCCAGATGATCGGTTGCATTTCCGGTGAAAGTAGGAGTGGCATTTGTTCTAGATTGGGAACTTAGAATTTGGAAAAGCAAGAGCAGAAGGGCTTGATAACAGATTGCATAGGAGATTATCCCTTGCATTTTCATTTCCAACACAAAGGCTTTTGTGGCTAATGTCTCTGCAACTCTACACCATGTTTGGTTTTATGGTAAACGTGTCATGAGGTTGGTTAGCGTATTACTATTACCTAAATTTTGATTTCTGAACTTAAGGCCAAAGACTTTGACTTGCTCGTCCTATTCCACGAAATGGAGCAAAGACCGGTAGATGGATCAAAGACCATGACTTTTGTGATTTTCTTTTTCATTTTTTCCTACGCTGATGATAATTCTAAGTTTCTTCACTGGACTCCAACGGTTGACGCACCTATTCTTTTGAAGATACAATTCTGGTCTGCATTGTTTCAAAGACCAACTTGTGATTTCATTGTCATTCCTATAGGAAAGCAGTGGTTTGAGAAGTGCCTGCCAAATACTTTGACTTGTCATTCACATTTGCAGCTTAGCTTGCTGCACACTTTTGCTGCCATATGACAGCTTCATTTCCATCATATTTGCAGCTAAATAGCTGCCATATTAGCTGTCAAATTGCAACTTCATTTGCTGTCAATTTTTGGCCTTTATTTCATCAATTTTGCAGGTTAATTTGAATACCACCACTCTAACAATATTTCCAACACAAAGACTAAGACTCTTGTGGTTGACAAAAGGTCATTGCTTTTTTGATTTTTTTCTTCTTTGTCTGTGCTGTCCCCTGAAGATATTTCAAATTGGCTCCACTGGACTTAATTCAAGAAAGTAGTGTTGTTTTGCATCTGATCCATTCTGTTTTTCAATCCTTTAAATGATGCATGTTGCCAAGACTGGTATGAATGCCTTGCTGAGTCATCTGTTTGTATTAGACCATAAACAACTAATTAGAATTAATGAAAAAACACCCTAATTAACAACATTTCTATAAATACCAGCTGAGAGACATCAAATTTTGCAAATTGCAAAATCTTCTGAGATTCTACTGTTCTTTATTAGCAGTTTCAAGAACGGTAGAATTGTTTAGCTAGTTAGAGCTTTGGAGGAGAGCTGAGTGATGATGCGGT